TAATTACCAGTACATATAAGTTTTTAACTGCCTACTAATTTGGTGAACGCTTCGTTTAACACAAGCTTTAAGGCTAACCGACACGCCCCTCTATGCGCCGCCTACCCTACCTGCTATGCTAATGCTTGCCCGGTTTCTGTTCCCAAATTCGCCAATTCCCGTATTGACTTATCGATAAACGTACTTGATTCTGCTCTCATTACAGTCTGTGCTGCAGATAAGCGAGAATGATCCGGGTCTGGCCCTGCTGCTGGTCCATCTGAATGCCAATCTGAAGGCCGTCTTCAACGATCCTCGCTCCATGTTTGTGCACACCTCGGTGCGCGAGTACCTGTTCGATGGGGTGCGCTTCTGCATCAATCCCCAGGGCATCGCCAAGGCGATTTGCAATCAGATCAAGGAGAGCGGCTCCAAGACCATACGCGAGCAAAGCGATGGCAGCTTGGCCTTTTCCTTCTTTGGACACGTGAGTAGCCCATTAACAAGGCAGAATATGTCCACTCACATGCCTCAATCTTTGGTTTGTCTTACAGAAAAACGGCTCCGGTCACGAGGTGTACGAGGTGCACACGGGCAAGGGGGATGCCACAAAGGTGCTGGAGATCCAGAAACTCGACGACTCACACAATCTGCAGGTGTGGCTCAATGGCAGCACCGAGGGCGAGACTTCTGTCTGTAACCAGATCAACGGCACCGACGCCTCCTCGTATCCCCCATTTCGCCAGCGCGGCGACTCCATGTACATCTTCAGCGCGGACATTTGTCGCTCGGTGCAGCTCTTCTATCAGTCGGACATACAGTACCAGGGCATACCTGGCTTCAGGTACTCCATTGGCGAGAACTTCATCAACGACATCGGACCCGAACACGACAACGAATGCTTCTGCGTGGACAAACTGGCGAATGTGATCAAGCGCAAAAATGGTTGTCTCTATGCGGGTGCTCTGGATCTGACCACCTGTTTGGGTGAGTGAAATCTTACACCTGAATTATGCCAAATGTCCTTTCTAGATTTTAATCTAGCATGGTCTGCTCTCTGAATTGATTCTGGATCTAAGCCAATTGAAGACTTGTTAAGCTTAATGTCAATATTCTTGCTGAAATCGCAACATTTCCTACGTAAGAACTCCCAAATTCCTGAAAAATGACCTTTCAAAACTTTCAACTGCGATAAATATGTCAAAACTAAGCATCTTTTCAATTAGGTTATTTACGGAAATGAATTTTCATCTAGATTAAATCTCTTGCTCAATTTTGTAAAACATGTAAACAAAAACATAGCTACTAACCGTTTAATAGTTGTGTTTAAGGTTTCGTTTAAATGTTTAATTAATGCACATTAATCCGAACCCATGCGTAGACTTCTGTATTGATTTTGCTATCGGTTATGATTATATAAATCCGATTTAATTTAATTGACACCTTATTTATGTTTATAAAGTGAACATTTGACAGCTCTTTAAGGTATTTTATTTGTTATGCTAACGACCGCCAGGTCCATTAATATGGGCATTAATTAGACTCCCCCAACGAGGTGGAAGAAACCAGTTGACACAGCAAACTGTTCAATTGGCCATATTAATACTTAGCTAGCCGCGTTTGTCACAGCCAAAATTAAACAACAGATATCGACTTTCGGTATCGCAGACACTGCCAATAAAATATGTATAACGTTCAGGATTCCAAAAAAATAATATATGCATAAGCAATTCCAGAAAATCCGGAAATGCTTGGCATGATTATTTACGCCTCGACCAGAAAATTAACGTGTTTGTTTAGCTCTTGATATCATATTATGTTTCATATGCAAATCTTTGAATAATTTAAACTATTTGTAGAATCCCCGCCCCCCTCCCTACACCTTCACGCGACATGCGTTTAGTTGCAGAAATGTTATAGTGCTAAATCAATGTTGTCTTCTAAGGTTTCGATTTCTACAGCAAATGCAAATTTGAGCAAGCTCTTCATCTAATGCCAATAGAAATCTTATGTATGTTAATCGGAGGCTCACAAACGCACAGCTCATCAATTTAAATTATGCGCTCGACAAAAATAATCAAATTTCATACAACAAATTCTTTTCGAGCATCTTTAAAGGCAATTCAAAGTTTTTTTTTTTTTTTAATAAACTCAAACGTTGCGCACGCGCACGCATAACTACAACAAATTGCAGCTTCATTAGGAAGAGTTGTGTGTGGGCCGTGGCAGAGTTTGATCTTTATTTGTATACTCTTTATGAGGGTCTTAGAAACTGACTAGAGAGTTTGCTGCATCTATCTGTACACAGTCTCTTGTAATAATTTACGAATTCCTGCATTTGTCAGCTGTCTATGGCCACATTATTAAATTTGGTATAATAATCTGTTATTTATTTCCCATCAGTAAACCAACAAAACTGTGTCCTAAAATTCCGATTAGCAATTTTAGTTGTTCCGCGTTAGGCTTACATTTCTACAACTCGTTGAAATATTAGATAACTTAGGCAACAAAGAAGAGTATACGCAGTTCAATGTTCCTTTTCATTTGGCTAGCTGATATTCTCTAGTTGCGTCGTTTATTGACCCATTCGCATTCGCATTTGAATTTATTGTTAATTTCTTAATTAACACTTCAAGACAAGCAATTGCATAGGGGGAATAAAAAGGAGAACCAGCAGCAAGCACCAGTAGATAATTTGTATTGCGCATTTGAAATGAAAAGTGTTGACGGCTGCTTTTATGGCTTCTGAAGTGCTCATAGGCTCATTATGATCTACTCGAGAGCCGCTCTACAAATTGAAGCATTAAATTCCATATGATTTTTATTATTTCTCATTTTGTTTGGGTGTTTGTTTGCCCGCCGCACGTTTCAGACTTGAGATTCTTGCCGCATTTTAATTGGCAAAACGTGAGTAAACAGTTTCCATAATGATCAGCAATTGGAAATATTTGTCTTTGATATTTGCTATGACCACCAAATGAGGAAATTCTCGCAACAAATTGGTCCAGTGCTAATGCTAAATAAATAAATATTTATTAAATAAACGCAGACTTCATTTCCGTGCTAAAGAATTTTATTGTTGAAAGGCATGGCCAAGTCGGCCTACAGATCCATTGAACCTTACCAGTTAAGTTAAATTAAGGTGATTCGAATATATTTTTTATGACTAGCTGGTCGAATAATCCTGTTTTGTTTTGTAAACAATATTTAACAACTGCATTGGCATTTTAATTATAATATCATGCAAATCTTAAAACCATATAACACTTATGAATGCAATTATTTTCATTGCAGATGCGCCCGTCATCTTGACGCTGCCTCATATGCTGGGCGCCTCGAATGAGTACAGGAAAATGATACGAGGTCTCAAGCCAGATGCCAAGAAACACCAGACCTTTGTCGACGTGCAAACGGTGAGCGAGATCCTTGACACAAAAATGAGTTTTAAATTAAATTGAAGTTAATGTCTTAAATATTGAATTATAATGTTGTAGTTGACGGGCACGCCGCTGCAGGGTGGCAAGAGGGTGCAGTTTAATATGTTTCTGAAGAGTATAAATCGCATTACCATCACGGAGAATCTGACGACGGTGTTGATGCCCGCTATTTGGGTGGAGGAGGTCAGTAAAAAGTACTCTTTGACACATTCGTCGAGCATACCATACAACTGTGTTTTTACAGGGTATACAACTTAATGGTGAAATGGTGAACTTTTTCAAAAAGAAACTCATCAACACGCTCAAAACGCTGGACATCGTACACTGGGCGGGCCTCTGCGGTGGCATGGGCGTGGCAATTCTCAGCCTCCTCTACTACACCTATCAGCGGGGTCGGCCCGCGAAGGCGCCCGTCAAACAGGTGGGCTGAGGCAGAATGTGAAATGATGGTATTTTATTATTATTGAGAAGAGAGAAAAATCGTACTATTATTATTACTACTATTATATTATAATATGAATGTAACAACACTCGACACGAATTGTTCACGAATTTTTGTATATAATTTATTGTTTAAATGTGATTTTATTATATTGTGATTTAGCGCGTACTAAAAACTATGTTTAAACTAAAAACAAAAACAACTTGTTGTCTAAAAACGAAATGAATTTGTTTTTATCTTTAATAGAAGTTCTAGGAATATGTAAGCTCTTGACGTATTTAATTAGATTCTTCCTAGAAACTTTTAACGAATTTGAATTTATTTAACAATCACTTCAACCGCAAGCTGTTGACTCCAATTCACACAGTTAAAAGCCATTAACCATGGCTGGACCGCAGCCGGCCCAAGTTCAAGATCAGCGCATGGCGAGTGTCAAAGAAATACATAAATTATTCATTTAGTGAATCAATCAATGGCAGTTAAAATACAAAATTAACGAAAAAATGAAAAAAAAAAAAGAGAAAAAAAACGAAAATAGATGTTCATTAAACACCCTGCGCAACTGCAAATTAAGGCAGAGTCGCTTTTAATAGAGTTGCTGAAACATGCAAAGAAAAAAGAAACCTGTAGATGAGAAGATATGAGCTTGGGCAACGAGACGAGCGACTGGAGGATTGACCAAGTCCGATATGCAAACAAAAAAACACAAATCGCTGGAGGAAACAACAAAAGCGCCAAGGTGTTTGCTTCGATTTCAATGCGATTGAGACATACACGCAGGTGAGTGAAGGGGCGCCAGGTGAGGGCTGCGGCATGGCGGGAGGGGTCTGCTACTGGGCCTGTCATTTGCTGTGACAGCCGCAACAACGCGACAGCAATTGTCAGCTGGGCGTGTGTGAGGCGTTTTAAAACGCGTCGGAAAGTCGCGCGTTCTTAACCAGTTTCATAAAATCGAAACGCTTAAATGTGGCTGTTGTCTAATAAATAATTGAAATTAATTTCATTAGCAAATTTCTAGCTAATGGCCAAAACTAAAAAAAGCACCTTTCGCAGCATTAACGATCTTCTTTTACGGTTATCTGGCCGTCCCTCCCTCCTCCTCCCCTTTCTTTGGGCTCTTTCGCACGTGGACACCTTTAGACAAACTGTCTGAGAGAATCTTTCCAATCCGTTCCTATGGACATGGTCAATAATTATGCAATACACAGAGTGCCCCACAACCAGTTTGCCATCGCTGTCGTCATGTGTGAATATATACGTATTCAAATCGGCCCAGCTCAGCTTTTTGTTTGGGCTCAAGATGAGACCCGCCGCCACGGGCCCGATCAGTCGACGACGAAACGCGCGAACGCACGCAGCGCCCCCTGAAAAGCCAAAAAGTGAAATAACATTTGAAATTCAAATTCGCATCAGTTCGGTTCGATTCGGACTAAGGACTGTTCCTCTCTCTCTCCACATATATAGCGAGAGTATATATAGGCCGTGTCGCGCTGTGTTCTGTGTCAGAGCATCGCAAGATGTTGCCAGTGTCGCGTCCATTCTCAGTGCTTCTCTGCCTGCTGCTGCTGCTGCTGCTGCAGCTCAGCTTGGCGAGAATCTTCGAGCGCTGCGAACTGGCCAACCTGCTGCAGAAGCAGTACGGATTACCAGCTGTCCAGGTGGCCAACCTGGTGTGCATTGCGCAGCACTCGAGTGATTTGAACACGGCTGCTTTTGGCGGTGGCAGCGGACCGGGCGGCGGCTCGCATGGCATCTTCCAGATCAGCGATGTATATTGGTGCTCGCCGCCGGGTCAGGGCGCGGGCTGTGGCCTGAGCTGTTCGCGTCTACGCGACGATGACATTGCGGACGACGTTGCGTGTGTACGCAAGATCCACGCGGAGCATCAGCGCATCTCGGGGGATGGCTTTAACGCCTGGCAGGCCTACAATGCGTATTGTCGCCAGGATGCGGCCTCCTACGTGGCAGGCTGTGGTCTACCAACTGCCAACTCAAACGCTGTGCGCGTGGCAGCCTCCTATCAGCAGCCGATCAAGGTGAGCTATCATCAGTCTAGTCTGGTTCCAGAGCGTCGGCAGGGCAAGATCTACAGTCGCTGTGAGCTGGCACAGGAGCTGTTCTATCAGCACAAACTGCCCATGCAGCAGATACCGACCTGGGTGTGCATTGCCCAGCACGAATCCTCCTACAACACGGCGGCAGTAGGTCGCTTGAATGCCGATGGCAGCGCCGATCATGGCCTGTTCCAGATCAGCGATCTCTACTGGTGCACGCACGATCAGCGCGGCGGCAAGGGCTGCCGTGCCGGCTGTCAACAATTCCTGGACTCCAGCATTGCGGACGATGTGCAGTGCATACGGCGCATTCACCAGGAGCACACGCAGATATCGGGCGACGGCTTCAACGCTTGGACCGTCTACAACCGGGATTGTCGCAACCAGCGCTATGAGCAGGTGGCCGCCTGCTTTGCCAAGCCACCGCTGGTCGCGCCGGCCACACATCCCAATGCCATTGTCGGCAGCGTTAACAAGTTCAGCTATGGCTATCCAGCTGCTACGACACCCAATCCCTACTACAGGCCTTCCAACAAGTTGGTCAGCTATCCGGGAAATCCTTTCCTGCGCCCGCGCCAGCCGCAAGTTCAGCCGCATCCCAATCTAATTGGATTACCCACTAAATCCCACTTTGCCAGCGTCTACAGCACACCAGCTACCAATCCCTTGCTCAACTTCAAGCAACACACAACACCCAAACAACAAACAACACAACAACACTTTTACACAACACCTACGCGAGCTGGTAAAGTTTATAAACGCTGTGAATTGGCGCAAGAGTTGTATTTCTCACACAAGTTTCCCATGCAGGATATAGCCACTTGGGTGTGCATCGCGGAGCATGAATCCCGCCTGGATACGGCGGCGGTGGGTCGGCTGAACGCGGACGGCAGCGCGGATCACGGTCTGTTTCAGATCAGTGATCTCTACTGGTGCACGCACGGTGAGGGCGTCGGGGGCAAGGGCTGTCACATCGAGTGTGATCGCCTCTTGGACTCGGACATTACCGATGATGTCAGGTGCATACGCACCATACACGAGGAGCACACACGCATATCCGGGGATGGCTTCACTGCGTGGACAGTGTACAATGGACATTGCAGGGATCGCAGCAAAGCGGAGATTGCCAGCTGCTTCGAGTCTAAGGAACTTGAAAAGGAACCGTTTAGGCCAGTCAAGCCGGCAGGCAATGAGCTGGTGAGGAAACCCAAGCCCAAGGGCAAGATATACAATCGCTGTGAGCTGGCGCAGGAGCTCTACTACAAGCACAAGCTTCCCATGCAGGAGATACCCACCTGGGTGTGCATTGCCCAGCACGAGTCCTCCTACAACACGGCTGCAGTAGGTCGCCTGAATGCCGATGGCAGTGAGGATCACGGCCTCTTCCAGATCAGCGATCTCTACTGGTGCACGCACGACGAGGGCGGTGGCAAGGCCTGTCACATTGAATGCGATCGCTTGCTGGATTCCGATATCTCGGATGATGTCCAATGCATCCGTACTATACACGAGGAGCACACACGTCTATCGGGGGATGGCTTCAACGCCTGGACGGTGTATAATGGGCACTGTCGAGGCCAAAGCCTGGCACAGTTGAGCGATTGCTTTGCAGGCAACGAAATCTCCGAGGCGGAGAAGCCTAGCCATTATGGAGAGCGACCACAAGTGCAAGCCCCGCAACAGCAGCCGGTAGTAAAGATCGCAGCTAACCATGACTACGGGGCCAATCCTTTCCTGCAACGTCTAAGCGCATCGCAAACAACGCAAGTGGCAGTCCCAGCTGTTAAAACAACTGCCAAGCCACCAGTCCAAATAACCGTGGTGCCTAATCATCCCTTTGGTTCAAATCCCTTTCTACAGCAAATTAAGCCCCAGCAACAAACTCCACTTAGCACATCCGAGACTCGCCCTATTAAGTTTATTGAACAAGAGCATGTTTCAAAGTCTAGTTACGATCACAATCCTTTTCTGAAACCTCTTTATAAGCCTTCTGCTAATGCTATTCAATCCATAACGCAAAATAAACCCACTTCCCACTCTAATCACAGTCCAGCCCATGTGCCTAATCCCTTTCTCAGCCTAGCCAATAAGCCAGAAGTTAGTCCGGCTAAAATAAGCACCACTTCCAAGCCCACGGCGGCAGCTAAGGTTACACATCATCCATACATAAGCAGCGACAGCTTTCGTCAAGAGGTCATTAAATTTACGGCCACATCGCCACATGATCTCCGGCAATCTACACAAGGCACAAACACAACACCAGCACCAAAAACAACACAAATTACAACCAAGGCAACAACAACACACAAAACAACAACTCGTGCAACTACAACCAGTCGACCCTTCACAACAGTCCATCCATTTGCTATAAATAAGCCACCCAATACTTCGAAAATGACAACTCGCGCGTCAATAACTAGGACACCGACAACAACACCTCTATTAATATCGACAACTCGTCGTACAACAACAACCGCAGTACAAACCACACCTAATCATACAACAAAAGCTCAAAGTACGATATTAACAAGACAAACAACAACCAGATCCACAACTCGCCAAACAACTACAAAATCCTCAACTCGTCAGACAACTACTAGACCCACGACCCGAGCTACCACTGCCAGACCCACGACTCGTTACACAACAACTAGAGTCCCAACTGGTCCAACGACGAGAATCCCAACAAGCCCCACAACTCGACCTTCAACTCGTCCTACTACGAGGACCACAACAAAGACAACAGCAAGATTCACCACGCTTTCCACAACAGCCAGATCCACATCTCGTTTCACAACAGCGAGACCTACAACACGCCCTACATCGAGAGCCACAACACAGCCGACGACAACGAGATCGACAACGCGTTTCACATTAACAGGACCCACAACTCGTCCGACTACAAGAGCAACAACACAACAGACAACGAGATCAACAACGCGTTCCACAACAACAAGACAAACAACTCGACCCACCACTCGCCCTACAACGAGAGCCACAACACAGCCGACGACAACGAGATCAACAACGCGTTCCACAACAACAAGACAAACAACTCGACCCACCACTCGCCCTACAACGAGAGCCACAGAACAGCCAACAACAACGAGATCAACAACTCGTTCTACAACCACCTGGCGGCCATTTACATCAACCTGGTTCTCAACAACTCGCTATCCAATAACAACAACTACAGCTCGTCCCAGCTTAAAGACATCCACCACCTTTAAGGCAACCACTCGCTCGACTACAACAGCTCGCCCAACCACCACCAGATGGCCTCAGTTCTCCACGTCCCGCTTGAGTACTTCCACAACGCCTAGACCCTACCTATTTACCTCAACAACAACTCGACGCCCCGCAACGACAGCAAGGAGTGCGACGACTAAAGATCCATTTGATCATCCATTCTTTGCTAAATTTAAAGCAACATTTGATCGCACGTCGCCATCAACTGTCACAAAGCCCACCGCGACGTCCACTCTGTCCAACCCAGGTAAATTCACTGCCAGCTCGTATTATGCCAAATTTAAGGAAAACAGCGTCAAAGCGTCAGCCAAAACGGCCTATGCTTATGATTTTGGCCAGAATCGAACAACAACCACGATCCGGTCCTAAAACCACGTCCCAATTGATTTAAAGTGGAACAAAAACTAAAATTTGGGTATATTGGTAGGGAAACTTGTAAATATGCGTGTAATGCGGCTAGTTTAGTTTGTATATTGACAGAATTCTCATAAATTATTAATCTTAAGACACATAATTATGATTTAGATAATAAAACAAAAATAAACCATACACTTAATACGATAAATTAATTCAGTGCGGAGAGTGGAGAGTCAACCAGTCCGAAGACCTGACGACACGCTTACGGCTGCCAACAGCGGCCGCGACAGTAAGTGGATGTTTTTGATTAATTTCATTAACTTGTTTTTGGCCTGGTGTTAGCCTTGTTAACATAAACAGCAATAAAGGCATGCACACACAACATCAGCGAATGGCGTGAGATAGCAAGTTATCAAATTATTGTGCATTTCTTATTAAATTGAAATTAATTATTCCTCTTTTCAGCAACTTAATGTTCAGCTTTTTAAATTTCATTGAGTTGTACAATGATGTCATAAGAACCATTTTTAAATAGAAACAGTGCTATCAAATATTGGCGCCTACACTAGTTCATCTTTTACAGCACTTTATTGTGTTTGTGGAGGCTGCTGATTACCGATTAACGTATATGAATCCGTATCCCAATAGCTATTGTAATTGTATTCTTTATATATAAAAAAATGTTGCTATTATTAATGCTTAAATAAAATATATCTCTTAATAATATATATATTTCATAAGCATTAAAATTGGTTTTAGTATTTTGACCTTCATTTTAATCTCGTATTTTAAGCGTTGCGAAAGCTGGTCACACTCATGAAAAAACTAATCTGCTTTCGGTGGACGGTTCGTAAACACTCAATTGTTGATTTTCGGCAATAAAAACGTAACGTTAAACGTTCAAAATGCGCTCCAGTGAACCGAGTTCAAATGCAAAATGAATTGAAGTGAGTGCCTTTGTCAAATAAGCCACAAATTTCGAAAAACTACTGCAGCCTGTACCAGCACCAACACCAGCCAGCCGCCCGAAGATAGCGACAGTCATCGAGCGCCCTACTTAGCAACAATTGCTTGTTGCACTACATTTTTTTTAAAAAATATTCATCCCGCATATATTATATTTGTTAAAGCCTACGTGTAGTAGGTCAAATATTGATACACGAAAATGCGTCGGCAAAACGTGAGAGAATTCCAGGACAGAGAATGACAATTGTTTAACTTATGTGAAGTCGGCTGCGCGCAAATTGTAACTCGCGTGAAGCTGGCTACACGCAACTTTCCACTCAAGTGAAGTTGGCTGCACGCAGTTTTTACTCGCCTCGAATGAGCTGTACACCGTTTTAAGCTGGCAGTGCCTCATTTTACTAGCGACATCTAGCGACAGAAGCAAACATTTTCAGCGTTGCGTTTTGTCTCGCACTTTTATCGACGTCTGTGCCCCTTGCGCGTTTACTGTCGTTTTGCACGCGCATTCGTGAAAATGGCGGCGTTGTCGCTCGGTCGCTGCCAAATTTTTTGTACATCCAAAATAATCAAAATAAAGCGACAATAAATACAGTGCTAAACAAACTGTCTATGCCAGAGGCCGCGTGCGCGCGCTTGTGTGTGAAAATACAACAAAAGAAAAACGTTCTGGCTAACTCAAAGCAAATATTGTAACATTAATCAGCTAGCGACAAGGAGTCAACGTCGTCGCCAGCGCAGCAGCAGCAGCAGCCGCCGCGTGAATAAGCGAGTGCAAGTGCGAGCGTTTTGCTGCGGTTTCGCTTGTCAGCGGAGCACCGAAAGGCTTTGGCCAAGGTGAATACGAATATAATTATGCTAAATTAGCAACGCAGCGTCTCGTTTGTCGGCTTTCACCTGCGTCCCACACCCGCTACCGCCCCTTCTATCGTAAACATCTGCGGCAGTTGCAAGCGAAAGGAAAGAAAAAAAAAAACCACGCATTTGAGTTTTATGACCCACAGGTATATAACTGTGCCACAGCCAGGTAGTAGAAGCAGCTGCAGCCCCCGCGAGAGTGTACAAACAAGAATTATGTGTAGATATTCCGCTATAAATACTAAAGTGACTTAAAATTTGCCTTGCAGTTTGCATCAAACGGCCACGCAGCATGCGAGTGATAAACAAGAGCTGTAACAACCACAACAAGAACAGCAACAACAACAGCAGCAACAACATGATGGCACAGATGCACAGTTGATCAAGAAAACAGGCGGCTAAAGAACGTCACAAGCAGAAGAGAAACCGAACGGGTCCGTGTCCAGTTCCGGCTCTTCAAGCGCCAACGCTTCAACAAACGAAACCGCCACCGGAACCGGAACCGCCACGCAATGAATAGCAGCCAAACGGCGCCAACGGCCACATCGGCCAACAGCAATCGCATCACCTTCACAACTCAGCCGCTGCCCAATGGCACCATCAACATAGGTGGCCCAGGGGGCGGAGGTGTTGGCCCGACGATCATCTCAACAGCACAGCTGCCAAATACGACGACGATCAAGACCATTACGGCGGGCATTGGTGGACATGGGGTGCCGGGTCTGTCGCAAGTGCAGCATCAGGTGCATCAACAGTCGCATCAGCAGCAGCAGCAGCAGCAAACGCAATCAGTAGGTGCCACCCAAACACAAACCTTAGTTATTAAATCCAATCACCATGCTGTCACCCTGCCGGCGGGTCTAGTATCAAGTGCACCAGCAGGAATCGTAACAATGACCAAGACCATCAATCAGGTATCCACCATCAAGCTAAACTCCCAAACAACGTACTCGTATTGTAGCGAGGCGATGATAGTAGTGCGCCGCATTCTGGCGCCATTCCGTTCGCATCTCTCTGCCTGCGTCCAATGGTTACTCCTGTTCCACACACACACACACACACATACATATCCGCACTCTCCAATATACTCTTCAGTATTCACTTTGCTTTCTTCTGTTGTCCATTTAGACGACACGATTAGCGTGCCTTACAAAACTGCAACAGTGAACTCTCGATATATTGAACATTTTTTAAACAATTTAAACAAGACAAATCTGACATTCCAAAAAAGCTTAATACGCTCGCTATATTGAAGGTTCACTGTATCTGAAAAAGGTTGTATGCATATCGGTTGGTTGTTAACCAGCGTCTGAATTTCTGTTCGTTATTTAATATACAAAAATTATAGATCCAGCTTTTCTTTAAAAATTAAATTTTACAAACGAATATTATTTTTCCCGCTGTCATACCAAATCCCCTTTGTCTCCCGCTAATTACTCTATGCTTTTCATTAAAAGATATAATTTTTGTAGATTTTCTCTGTGAAAAAAAAATGCTTTTGAACGGTCGCTTCTTTGTAGTACAACTCGTAGACGTCTTTCAAATTGGCCAGAACACATCTAAATACCTCATTTTCATCTAATCATTTTATTAGAAATTCATACCAAATCAATTATTAAAATGTATTTTGTGAACACACACAACTTCCGTGCACATTTGTTTGACTGTGATCTGTAAGCGAATGAACTGAGACCCACGACAATACGTGAAATGAAGCGACTCTCGTGATCTGCTGCATGTTGTAGTGAAACAAACCAAAACCAAAACAATAACTTAAACCTATCAAAGCTTTTGTAATCCGCCTATAGAAACCCAAAAATGCAATATTCTATTTATGATCTGACTAATCCCATCACGTATTCCACAGACCGGGCAGCCGCTGCTTAACTCCATGCTGCCGGCCGGCGTTGTGGTCGGCATGCGACCGCAGGCGCCGACGCAGCAGCAGCCAAAGAATATGCCCGCCAATCCGCTGAGTCGTGTCGTCATCAGCAACTCTCATATGGGTGGCGTTAGGCCACAGAGTCCATCGGTAAGTGTGACTAGAAAATGGGAAAATGCGTGTATCTGTAAGGAAAACTCTTGAGTTTTGTTGTTGTGGTGGGCTCTTCTCTACTAATCCACAAGGCTCCCTAATACAGCGCACACACATGCACCCAAACCCCAACAACCCACCCAACCACTCACACACACAGTCACACATACACACACACATACACATATGTACATATACATGCATTTATATCAACGGGTACGCCTTGTACTTTGAACTATTCTCTGTCTATTCTCTCTCTCTTTATTTTAGATAACTTTAGGCACACTTAATACAGGACAAACGCCTGCACTGTTAGTGAAAACGGATAATGGATTTCAGTTGTTGCGCGTGGGCACGGCCACATCGACGGGCCCGCCGACGATGACACAGACCATATCTAACACCAGCAACAACAACAATAATAATAACAACAACAACAACAACACCACAACAACAACAACAAATCATCCCATAACCACACAGATACGTCTGCAAACTGTGCCGGCTGCAGCTGTAAGTAGATATCATGGCCAATCGTCATCCCAACAACAACAACAACAACAGCAACAAACGCAGCTGCAGCAACAGCAACAACAGCAACAGCATCAAACAACGACACAAGCATCCTCACAAGCAACAACTGCCAGCACTAGCATAGCACTGCGCAAAACGATTGTCCGTACATCATCCACAATCCTCCCATCCAGCAATAACAATGTTAATAATATCACCACCAATACCACCACCACAACCACTACCAACAACAACAACAACAACAACAAACCCGCTACTAACCTGCAACAGCAGCAACAGCAGCAGAAGCTACAGCTACAACTGAAGCAGCAGCAACAGGCACAGCAGCAACATAAGCAACAGCAGCAACAGGCCTCAGCCAGCGCCAGCAGCGCAGCCGCCGCGGCCGCCGCAGCTGCTGCGGCAAATGTCGCGGCCACAATTAAGATCAAGCAAAATGTAAAAATCAAAGCTTAACTTGTTTAGCAATGGAAATTCGCATAGTTTCCAATATTTTATATATACTTTATATATTCTCTAAAACGCCTCTCTCTTGTCTGTTTATGCATTTGATCTGTTTTTTAACGCTACGCTTCAGTTTTCAATTTTGTTTAGACTTTCGGCCAGACTTCGAGCAATCGACTGTCCGCCCAACTTTTTCAATTTTCATTTCAATATAAGTATCTTATATAATATATATATATATATATATATACATATATAATTGTACTTTTGCTCAGTTTTGCATGCTGCGTTGTAACTGTCTGTGTATTTGACTTGACGTATTCTTTTGATTTAGTTTTTTCGCTGTGGAAAACGCGTTGCTGTTCGTTTATTTCGAAAATCAAAAAAAAAAAAAAAATTCATTCAACTCTATTTTATCATTTAGAAAATAAGAAGCATTATGATCATGAACTGGGCACCGAAGGCTATTCGGGCTCCGAATGGGGGTGTGTTATCAAAAGAAAACAAAAACATTTCAAACAAATTCAAAAATTAATTTAAATATGTTTGCAAACAATATTTTTTGGCACTAACTTTATATGTTACTCCATTATTAATCACTAAAACCTCAACATCTGACCCGCACACCACTCGCACCCACTCATACACACACACCCACACACACACACCCCCACTAATAGGAGCCCGTAGCCTATGTGCGCCTCCATAAGAGTCACTCAACTATTTTCTGGTTTTAACTTATCGCTTATCGCTCTTTATTTGCACTGACTGCGAACAGTTGCTTCAAACATTTGTTTGCTAATCTATAATGTTTATTTTAACCACAGTCGATGACCAGCACCACCGCCTCCAGCAACATAATTGTCAACTCGGTGGCCAGCAGCAATGCGCATAGTTTTAGCAGCGCCTCACATCCGCCGCACTTGGCGCAGCTCCAGCAACAGCATCAACAGCAGCAACAACAGCCGCATTTGCCGCAAGTAACGCAAATCCAAACGATACCAGCCGCACAGCCGCATTCGCAAGCGAACAATGTGCAGGTGGCATCTGCAGCGGCGGCAACGGCGGTTGCGAATGCGAACGCAACAACGACAACGGCTGCGCAGGGCAATACCAAAGAAAAGTGTCGCAAGTTTTTAGCCAATTTAATTGAATTGTCGACACGCGAACCGAAGCCGGTGGAGAAAAATGTGCGCACGCTCATCCAGGAGCTGGTCAATGCGAATGTGGAGCCTGAGGAGTTTTGTGATCGCCTGGAGCGTTTGCTCAACGCCAGTCCACAGCCGTGCCTCATTGGGTTTCTCAAGGTAAGCAATTATCGAATAGTATTCCTTTTCTTTTTTTACTAATGTGTGCTTTCATCTGCAGAAAAGTCTGCCACTGCTGCGCCAGGCCCTCTACACCAAGGAGCTGGTCATTGAGGGCATTAAACCGCCGCCACAGCATGTGCTGGGATTGGCTGGACTTCCACCACAGCTTCCGGTAAGTTATGCCGAACGCTCAATCAATCAAACTACTATTAACCCGATAATCTTTTCATAGAAAATTCAAGCGCAAATCCGTCCGATTGGACTCAGCCAGACGACGACCATCGGACAGACGCAGGTGCGCATGATAACACCAAATGCATTGGGCACGCCGCGGCCGACCATTGGCCACACGACGATATCCAAGCAGCCGCCAAACATTCGATTGCCCACAGCGCCGCGTCTGGCCATACGCGGTCAAATGCCTTCGCTGCCAATGCCCGCGCAGGCGGTAAGTATAAAACTGAGATCTGCCCCTAAGCAAGACTCTCACTTCCCATATCCACACAGAACATTGTGCAAATCCGCGGCCCGCATAACGCACAGCTGCAGCGCCCGGGATCGGTTCAAATACGTGCCACATCCCGTCCGCCAAACAGTACGCCCACGAACAAAGTCACTGCCGTCAAGGTTGGTCAGACGCAGATCAAGGCCATAACGTCCAGTTTGCATCCGCCCTCGCTGGCGGCCATATCATCGAACAGTGGACCACCGCCAACGCCGACGTTATCAGTACTATCGACGATAAATTCAGCATCGACGACATCGTTGCCGGTGCCATCGTTGCCCACAGTTCATCTGCCGCCGGAAGCGTTGCGTGCACGCGAGCAGATGCAGAACTCGCTGCATCACAACAACAATAATCACTTTGAGCCAAAGCTCGTTGAGATTAAGGCACCACAGCTGCCGCATATGGAACGAATCAATGCCTCGCTGACGCCCATTTCAGCCAAGACGATGCCCCGTGGCACTATGCCCATGGCGAACAAGTCGGCGAATAAAAAGAAAAGGGATGCAATCGATCGGGATAGCAAGGATGAGAGGGCAAACAGCGGTAGTGGGATGGCGGGGTCAGCCGCGGCTGCGGCCGCCAATTCGTTTTTCCAGCAAAGCTCCATGTCATCATCGATATATGGCGATGATGATATTAACGATGTGGCAGCCATGGGCGGTGTTAATCTAGCCGAGGAATCGCAGCGCATTCTGGGATGCACGGAGAACATAGGCACGCAGATACGGTCCTGCAAGGATGAGGTGTTTCTCAACTTGCCAGCGTTGCAGGCACGAATACGCGCGATAACCGCGGAACGTGGCTTAGATGAACCCTCGCAGGATGTTGCCGTGCTCATATCGCATGCGTGCCAGGAACGGCTCAAGAATATTGTGGAAAAGTTGGCTGTGATAGCGGAGCACCGCATTGATGTCATCAAGGTGGGTTCATGCGCTCACTACTCTGCAATTAAGCTTTAAATAAAACTTCTCTAACCGACAGTTGGATCCACGCTATGAGCCCGCGAAGGATGTACGCGGTCAAATCAAGTTTCTGGAGGAGTTGGACAAGGCTGAGCAGAAGCGACACGAGGAGCTGGAGCGCGAAATGCTACTGCGAGCGGCTAAGTCCAGAACGCGAGTCGAAGATCCCGAACAAGCAAAGATGAAGGCGAGGGTAAGAAACAATTATTTTTGCAATTTGGACTGTCTCATCTTACACATATTACTCTCTCCAGGCGAAAGAAATGCAGCGCGCGGAAATGGAAGAGCTGCGACAGCGCGACGCGAATTTGACGGCACTGCAGGCAATTGGACCACGGAAAAAACTCAAATTGGATAGCGATGCGGCCGGTGTGGGCGTGGTGAGTAACATGCACTTACCAGCGACCATTCGATTGCTTACTCAAGAAACATGGCATCTGCTCTACACACACAGGGTTCCAGTGGCGGCGGTCTGCTGAGCAACTCCGGTACGGCGACTACAACGTTGCGGCCGCGCATCAAGCGTGTCAATCTGCGCGACATGCTCTTCTTTATGGAGCAGGAGCGCGAGTTTTGTCGCAGCTCGTTGCTGTTCAAGACTTACCTCAAGTGATCGCTGCTGGCGCCGCTGTTGTTCACATACCTACGCACCCATACGAGCTCTCCTGCGCCAACTCCTGCTCCAACTCCAACTCCAACTCCAACTCCAACTCCTGCTCTGGCTTTGGCTCCAGTTATCATTCTTCTATTAGCGTCTAGCAGCTGCGTTCATCAATTTGCAATATTATTTAGCTGTCAGATTTAACTGCGTCGTCCCTTTGTTGTTTTAGTTAGGCGCCCTATTTAAATAACGTATGCGTAGAAATACCAACTAAATTGTAATTAAAAGTTTTTTAAATCTAATTTACAAATCGTTTTCCAATTAAATAGCCAGCAACACTTAAACCAAACCAATCCAAAAACACAAAAGAGAAACCAACATCAACAACAACAACAAAACTCACAGTAGCAAAAAACAAAACAAAAATTCAACGTGCAGTCAGCCAGCGTTTGATTTTGTAATTTTTAACATAATTAATTGCATTAATTGCATTGACGGCCTTATCTAAACGATATAAACATATAAATAATATGATTAAATTGTGTAGCTTAGTTTGTTAAACGAAATCGAGCGTAAATTCTAGACTTAAGTTAGATTGCAGCATTCAAGTCGAGGAACATAACATGGTTTTTAAAACCATCATGGCAAGCAAAAAGAATAAAAACAGAGAGAATACAATTTAAAAAAAAAAAATTAAATAAAACAAAGCAAAAGGAGAAATATACACATAATATGGCATAATACATTGAACTAGTTGTAGTTGTTTAAACAAATTGATGTAATTTTAATTAGCTTATGTATAAAACAATTAACAGAAACAAATGGTAACAACAACAAAAAAAAAAAAAACAAAATACACGTGTAAAAAGTCCAGACTAAGTTTTTTCTATAGTTTAACTAGGTAAACGCAACGTAATTAACAAATTTACGGCAAAGAACTAAAACCCGAACGTAGTTTTAGACACTAAACATATGGTTTTTTATTAGTGAGGCGTTCGTTCAACCAAAATGGTTCATCCAATCAATGGATTATGTGCATATTATAATGTTCTAGCAGGCGGTTCTTTAATTGAACACATTTGCACCAGCCACAAAATAGTTAAATTTTATACAAAGTAAACAAACGAAAATTGTAAAATACATTTATATTCGACTACGTACATATTTAAAACAAATACAAATTTAAATTCTGTGTGTGTGCTAAACAGTTACAATATGATCAAGCGAAAAACAAACAAACAAAAAAAACAGTCGAAAACAACAAAAGTAAAGAGCGCATAGTTTAGTAGTCATATAACTAAATATATTATATACATCTATAAATATATACATACATACTTATTATGTTTTACAATTAATAAATACAAAAAACCTATTGTATGTATAAATTAAGTTTAAAATGAGAAAAACCTAAAAAAAAAAAACTAAAAACAAAATACAACAAAAAAATAAAACAAACTTCAGAAAAACTAAAAATTTGCCGCAGATAAATCATTTTGAATGTTGAGAATGTGTAACGGTATCTCAGTTAATTAGCTAGTTAATTCATTATATTGTATGTAGTTGAATTTACCAATTTTTTATTGCTATTTTTTTGTATTCATTTTATAATTATTAATATTATTATGATCATAATTATTACTATTATTAACATAAAAATAAAACCAAATGGACATTTGGACTCAAAATAATCTGCCTCATCGTCAGCTTCGAGTGTCGTTCAGCTCTTGCTATTATTTTCCATTTAATTTCCCTTTAAATGTAAACAAGGTTTTTTGTTTTTGTTTCATTTTGTGAATAGTTTCTGCCATTAACTTTATTATTGTTTCATTCATTATTATCAACATTTGCAATTACCTACTGTGACGGCTAATTAGTTCGTATGTGTCTAAGTGTTTTGTTTTGCTTTTATTTTATACCTTTCGCTAAACTTTATGAATTTTAAGTTTCGCTTAATTAACTACACCCCCGATGGGACGGCGCCTGCTAATTCATCTGATCTGGCGAATTGCAAATATTCCTTTACATCGTAGTCGAACAGATCAAAGTCAAAACTGTGAGTATAAGATAAGTTAAAGTTCGTTTGCCATTTAGTTCTTATCGCTGTTTGACTCACCGATAATATTCGTATAGCTCCATCATCTCCTGCCTGGTGAGCTGGGAATAGAACTGCTGTTGCAGCTCCTGTGTCTTTCTGTCTCCTTTGCCCATGTTGCGCCAGACGGGCGCTATGACGCGCTGGAGGCCAGTCTTTTCGATTAGATATAGTTGATCCTCTGCCAACGATTCGAACTTCAATATCATATCGAATCGAATCAGGCAGGGCGTGCAGAACGATGTGGCCGATACAAAGTGCATGTCTATATAGTTGCCCCGCTTCACCTGATCCAGCAGCCAGTGCACGAACTCTGGAAACGATGGATACTTTGTAGTGCCAGCACGTGAGATCAGCTTGGGCTGCAATGAATGCAAACAAGTTAGGTGAGCTTTGGTAAATATGTATGTTCTTGTACAGCACCTTCTTCCGATAGGTCCGCACAATGCTGCGGCCCAGTTTGTCGTGAAAGGAATAGGGCAGCGCGAACACGATCTTGTCTCGATAGGCGCTCAGCAGTCTCTCGAATGGATTTCTAGCTATGATAAATGTAATTGAATCGTTCTGTGCCTCGTGCAGCTGCAAACAAAATCAATTAATATTTCAAATTGGGAATAATTAGGGATCTTACCTCCTGCAGCGTTACGCGTGGATAACGCTCTCTGGCCAGATTGAGCAGAATCTTTTTGGTCTTAAGCAAATAGCTTGGCGTGTAACCGGCCAGCACATTGAAATTGAACATCCAGGATGAGGAGGCCGCCTTGAAGACATTGCACCTGCAATCATTGGAGGCACATGCTCTAATACAGTTATCCGCTAACAGTGCAGAGCTGCTCTTACCATATAATATGATATTTTTTATTAACCAAAAACTCCCAAGTGTTGGGCGTATGCCAGGAATCCTGGCCTGTAATTATAATAGAAACTATTTATAGCACCTATAAAAAGTCGGAAATGTTATTTGCCAGGCCTCACCCAACACATCCAGTCCGAACTCGGAGCACTTGTCCTTCAGTCTATTGAGCCGCGCCTCCATACGCTGCGCCCGCATAAAGATAAAGCGTATATGGTATGTAATAGCTGTTAACAATGGCCATTAGGATAACCCCAAAAGCACCTACCACGGACATTTCCTGCATTTCCTCCTCTGAGAGCGACTGCACCGCATAGTCGGGTATGAGCGAGAGTCCCGTCTCATTGTTGATCTGTTGAAATAGTTGGGAGCAAGCGAATAAATGAGCTATATTGCTTGGGTTAGGCTGACAGGCACTTAATGACTATTTTTATAAGCAAATGTTTTCGAGGAGGAGGAGGAGAAGGAACCCGACGACGGGACCCGCCAAGCCCAAAGCAACTGCCAATCATTCATTTTAGGGATGGAGAACAGATGAGGCCAAAGAATTTTAATTCTTGCGCGCTTATTTAATGCACCCATAAATTTGACGGTTGAAATTGTTTTTGTGTGTTTTTGTTGTTGTTGTTGTAGTGTTTACTTTGCCATTAACAATGTGAGTGTGTGTGTGGGTTAAATATTTACTTTATCAACATAGCGCCACTTATTCTTAGTCTTGCCCGTCGCGACCACGGTTAGCTCCTTGTTTTTGTTTTTGTTCAGCAGCAGCACAGGATAACGAAATGTTTGACCCGCCGCCTGCTGCTGTTGCCGCTGTTGCTGCTGATGCTGCTGCTGTTGCTGTTGCTGCTGCTGCTGTGGCTGTTGCGCATTAAAAGCCTAAAAAAGCATTTGCATTTAGACGTGTTACACAGAGAAAACGGTTGCTTAAATGCAAACATGACGTGGCGTATGCGTAATATACAAGCGTTTCGGTTATGATGCTCAGCAAAGCGGTCCTACACAAATGCATAAAGCAATCACAAACACCTCTGACACTGCTGACCCCGCTGACACCGCTGACAGCGCAACTGACTCATGTCGCTGGCATCCCAGTGTCAAGGTAGCCTCAACGAGCCCAATTAAAATCCCACTGGGCAGCTCTGTCAACTGGCATCGTTACAAATCTAGATGATTGTTTAGCGGTCATTGTGGCGCGTATAACTATACCCTGCTTTCGAACTGTTGGTGGGTAGGGTATATTATATTAAACAGTAGGCAAAACCAAACAAAAAGCAGAAGAGTTTGGAACTACTTATCAAAATTAACTTAAGCTTTACATGCAAATATTAATATCTTTCGAGTTCAATACATATAAAGATACAATTGAATTCTTCTTGTTTTTAAAGTTTATTACTTTTTTTATCAAAAATTTAATCCAATATTTATAATTACAATCTTAAGTCTCTACTTCGACCAGCTCAATAGCTGGACATAGCCTACTTTTAAGCGCAACTAACTTTTACACATTATATGCTTATATACGAGGTATCTCTTAGTCGTTCATACAGGAATGTAGCAAATTATTTCGCAGCAAAAGTGGCGCTATGTGCATGACATGAACTGTGGCAGGTTAATACATATGTGTGTGTGTGTGTATATGGGAGATGTGATATGTGGGCGTGATGTGGGCGGTCGGTCTGACGCTTAAGCAGCACTCGGTGCCTGCGCGCGTGTGTGTGCGTGTGTGTGCGAGTGTGCGTAGGTGAGTTTGGTGTGTTACGTGTTAGACGCTGTGCCTAATTATGCCAATGTTGAACACAACACGGCGTATGCGTGCTTTATTTCTTTTATTTCTCGTGCTTTGTGGCTGCCTAAGCATTAAGTCACCATTATTTAATACAGAACAAAATTAGAGGCCAACTTTCCATTGATATGCGTTTGTCTTGCTGCCAAACATCGATTTTCCTGCGCCTCTGACGTGTCCTGAGCCCGTGCTGTTTTCCCCCAAGGCAATTAAATACAGCCCACGCTAATGTTCTTTAATGCAAGTGGCCTAAGGATATATTTGCAATTCGCTGGGAGGAGGAGGGAGGGCGACGCCTTTGTGTCTGGCAAGCAAAGCTAAAGTGGCTAAAGGCAAAGCATTGCCTAGGGAGGCGTTCAATAGTAGGCGTGTCAATTCCACATTTAAGTGTCAATTGTTAATTGGCAATGAGAATTTTCACACACACACACACACACACAGCTAACGGCAGGCCTGAACAAATTTCGTTTTAATTTGCACTTTTTAAGAGCGCTCTCTAGAAATGGGTTCCCCCGTGATACGCCTCGAGTCGTGTTGCTGAACGTGTAACGAGGTGTTAAAAACTTTGATAAATAAACAAGCGTAAATAATGAAATTTAATTAAGCATTTGCCAATTTCCCATTCGTAATATTT